ACGCTTTGGTGATCAGCTAGTTTTCTGTAAATAAATAAAATCAGGAGGAAGCTTTCCAAAGGTGATAATTATGGACAACAGTCAAAAGTCCCTTTTTTTCCAATGCCCTTGTCACTTTGAACAGTCACTAAACAAATGATTGTACGTCAAGGACAACCTGTCTGTGCAACCCTCTTGCTCTGAAAGGCAAGGATGTGACTCTTATCTGAAGCTGTGGTTAAACAACATCATTTCCTGCAAGCAGCCATACCTTGTTCAAGTAAAAGGAGAACAAGAGGCAAGACAGACTTCCTTGTGCAGGAGGTTCGGTGAGAAGAATGAACATTGTTCATTGGGGATTAGGCAAATGATATGGAAAGATCTCAATTTGCTGTTTGACTAGAATATTTTCTTACTGCATACCACACTTACCGGCCTGTGCAAATCTACCTGAGCAAGGCTAAACTTGGGAGATCTTTGCTCAACTTTTTTTTTTTTGAAATTTTGGAGTAGTTCAAAGGTATCCTTGAGACTTAAAAAAAAATCAGCACAGACGGATGGCTCCCATGGCTTAAAAGAACTGGCAACAATTGTGTTATGTTAGAATAGAAAAGAGCTGGCAGGGACCTTGGAGGTTTTAATTAATTAATCAGAATAGAGTTGAAAGGGACCTTGGAGGTCTTCTAGTCCAGCCCCCTGTTCAAGCAGGAGAACCTATACCATTTCAGATAAGTGACTGTCGAGTCTCTTCTTAAAAACNTTGTGGGTGTGCGGACAAGATCATGAACTTTCAACTGGGTGGGAATCCCAGGAAGCTTTCACATTCAGGTTTCCCACAGACGTGCCAACATGTCTCTCTTAATAAATTGGAACTTTGGGGAAAGCTCTGCCTTGGACTCTGATTTAATTCTGGATGATATTTGGAATACTGACAATGTAACTGTAATATCATTGTTAGGGTTGGGTAAAAATGTATTGACCCAGTCATCACTCTGTCCAAAAATATATTGGTTGTTAAAGGAAAACTGCAAATAAAACATATAAAAAAAAAAGAGAAAGAAAAGTTATCCTCTGCACACACATTCCCTTAGTGATTTTGGCTAGATTACAAGATACCATAAAAACAGCTATAAAAGTAGCAATAAACCTAACATACATAAACACAAAAGTTGCAGACAGTAACACTAAAAGGCCCAGGAAAATATGTGAGTTCTGAGCCTTCTCATAAGCTGTGATAAAAAGGGAGATTTGTTTCGATTTCAAGCAACAATTTACTGCATGAATGTCTAAAATATCTGTGGCGGAACTGATATAAACAATGTAGTCTAAGCAATTTTTAAGATTAATTTAGGAACAATTGGCAATTTTTTGGGTTGGGATTGCTTGTTTTTTTCCCTAGTACTTACTTACTTACTTACTTACTCACTTAGTAGATACTTGCTATCTAAGTCAAATTGCTTGACTGATAATAGTTTTCTACAATTGCAATTTTTTTCTAGGGTATATATAGCGATTATATAAATATAGAGGTAGGCATTTATCGATTGGTGACTTGTTCTACAAGAGGGGGATTAATTCTTGTTGTGGCAATAAATTTGTCAATGTTCAACTGGAGGAGACTTTTTCTCTGTATGCTTCATATTTTCTTTTAGACACTTTTTTTGGTTTGTATCTGTTTTTGTATTATAATTCTTTATTCCTCTTTTACTCTGTATTTTAACGTTGGAAATAAATAAATAAACAATAGACAAAGAGAGTAATAGGAAAAAAATGGCTAAAGGTGGTTTGTCAATGGATTTTGAATGAATAATGCAAGAACAAGCAATGGGAGGCGAGGACATGATATTTCCTTGTTTGGTCAGGAGATACGGACTTTGCAAACTTTGAAAACTTTGCAGCTTGTGAAATCTTTTACACAAATTGAAACACATGAGTTTCACACTGTTTCGAAAACACAGTTTTGGATATTACTGTCATGACTGGCAGAGACATGGTAACAAGGTCATCCAATGGGAATTATTTGGTGATTGAGAGCCATACCAGATGGCTTGGAGCCTGGGCGTGGCTTACCTATGTTGCTCTGAGTCTGTGCTGAGAACTAAACTGGTCTGCTGCTCTGATTTGAAACTGAAGAACCACTTGTTGGTATTGTATATTTACTTATGTGCTATATTGTATATAAAGAGAAGTTAAGGAATCCTGCTGAATCAGTTACCTGTGTGTGCTTCCTGGATTTGATTTCTGCAACGAACGCTGACACTCACAAAGAAAAAAAAATCTTCTCTTAGAAAATTTAGATCATGAGATCCTTGCCCTGAAATGCCCTTTTGCTGAGTAGATGAAATACAAACTCCAATACATATTAATATCATGTTGTGCATGATACAAAAGTGTTTCCTGGACAACAAGGAAGAACTGCTGTGATTCCATTGTTCCCATCAAGATTGTGTGGTTTTAATATCAAATCTGTTAAACATTTATTTCCCAGTGTTAACATTAAGCTAACGGCTGTCCTAGCTTAGCTTCTTAGCATTACGGAGAGTGGAAGATATTCAAGGGAAATCACAAGAAAAAAAATTATTTTCATGCAACGGGGACCATGGGAATGACTATTCATATAAGATAGCTTGAAAGGGGAATTTTCTTCATTTAATTTGGTTAGATATTATTAACAGTGTCCTCTGACCAAGGACAGAACAATAAGAGAAGGCTGACCAGTATTATTCCCTTGAAAATGTTTTGCTTTCTCAGTTCAACTTCTGATTTTTGAAAAGTCGAAAAGGCAGCAGTGGTCATTAGAGTAGAAACCTTTGAAAAATCTTCAAGGTGTGTTTAACAAGCACCTGGTTATGGTTTTCCCAGTTGCAATGTATGGCTGTGAAAGTTGGAGCATAAGGAAGGCTGAGTGCCAAAGAATTGTGGTCTTTGAACTGTTGTTGTTTATGTTGTTTATTATACTTGTATGCCACCCTATTCCCTAGGGCGGCTAACAAACAAGTGGGGAAGGGGGAGATACAAAAAACGAACAAGACAAAAAACAAGATACAAGAAACAGATTAAAAGCTACACAACAATCACAACAATTCAAGGGGGGCTGGGAACTCATCAGCCCCAGGCCTGCCGGAACAGCCAGGTCTTGACGGCTTTGCGGAAAGCCTGAAGGGTTGTGAGGGTCCGAAT